GGCACTAAATTTGGACATCTGGCCCTCAAAATTCTGGGCAAATAGATTTCTGTTTTGAGCCACTTAGTTTATGGCCTTTTGTTACTGCAGGCACAGAAAATTTGCACACTGCTTCTGTAATTTTTTTTAAAAAAGTATTATGACATCACATTTACATTTCACACCCATAAAATCCAAAATCCCACTGCTGCTTTTGAGCCTATTGTGACTCGGAACAACGCTACAGCACAAAGAACTGTTCCACAAGTTTTCCAAGATTCTAAATCTTGACGGCAAACAGCTCCCCCCTTTCTCCACAGGAGAGATACACCATCCTCTGTAAACAGTGTGTGAGTGCCGCTGGTGGGTTCAAACTACCAACCTTTTAGTTAGTGGCTGGACACTTTAACCACGACTTCACCAGAGTTCCGGGTTGGGTCATGGGGTGGATTGACGCAGTGGCTGTCCCAATGTGCCCAAGCACCATTGTGAGCATGGTGCAGGCAGTGTTTTGTTCTCTTGCCTATATGGTCACTTTGGGTCAGTACCTAACAACAACAACAGTGTTATTTAAGGAATCTTGGTGATCCACTGTTTTAAGCACTCACCTGCAAACTGAACAGCCAGCTGTAAGACATGGCAATTTGCTTCTGTAAACATTCTAAACTGCAAACTGAATTTCCTGCTATAGAGTTGATTTAATTGCCTAGTGACAAAGCAGAGACCATAGGGTTTCCAAGTATGTAAATCTTCACAGAAACTTACTGCTATGTCTTGTTTTTTTCCTGTGGAGAAGATCTGGGAACTCAGTGGGGATGTTGTGCTCTGTCCGATGGGACCGCAATGAACTGGTATCAACTTAACATTTCACAACAATAATGTTGATTTTAGAAGATAAGCCTCCATTGTAAACTCTTTTTTTCTTCTTCAGTTCCTGAAGTAACTTATAATGTAGGTGGTTTTTTATAAAAATCACCAAGAAAAGCAAAGTGAAATAGAAATGAAATAAATGAACTTCTGAAACTCATTAGTAACACCACAAAAAGTCTTCAGGGACAATAAACTACTGGTCATGAACTCGGTGCTGTGCTACAGATTAGAGAGAAGCATTTGCGAATGACACATCTGACAATGGGCTCATCTCTAAAATTCATAGAAAACATCTAAACAAGAAAAAAGATGAACAGCCCAATCACAAAATAGGCAGAGAACATGAATAGGTACTTCACCTAAGGAAATATTCAGAAGGCCAGCAAACACATTAACCAATTGCTCACAATCATTAGCTACCAAAAGAGATACAAATCAAAATAACAATGAGCTATAAATTCACTCCAGCAAAAAGAACTGTCTTCAAAAAGACATTAAACAGCAAATGCTGGGGAGAATGTGAAAACATTGGAACGCCCATGCACAGATTGAAAATATAAAATGATGCAACCACTATGCAAAGTAGTTTGACACTTCTTTAGTAAGTTAGGAATATCATTTAATCCAGCAATCCCACTACTAAATTATTATTTTTTTATAAAAGGAATAACAACATCAGTTTAGAGGGACTGTTACTACTAAATTATTATAATTAGGTGTTGAGTTCAGTACAACTCATAGTGAACCTTTAAACAATAGATCTGAGGTTTACCCTATCCTGTGCTAACCTCACAATCTCAGACGTACTCAAGCCAATAGCTGTACTCCCTATGTCAATCTGCCTGGTTGAGGGTTTTCTTCTCCTTTGCTGTCCTTCCAACTTTCTGAGCATGAGACACTCCTAGCGACACGCCCAGAGAGTGCAAGACAAAGCTTGGCCATCCTTGCTTCCAAGGAGCACTCTGGCTGCACCTTCTCTAAGACATATATATGTGTTCCTTTGGCGATCCATGTACTCTCCTCCAACACCACAATTTAAAGGCACCAATTTTACTTCTGTCATCCTTATTCATTGTCGAGCTCTCAGATGCATAACAAGTGACTGAAAAGATCAGAATCAGATGTGCCTTAGTCCTCAAACTAAATATTACTGCTCCCCAGTAATTCGGAGAGCTCTCTGGCTGCAGACTTTGCCAGTGCAATACATCTCCTGATCTCCTGACTGCTCGTGCCAAGCGTATTTATTTATATACACTACTAGGTGTATTGGGAGCTCTGGCGGTCTAGCAATAAGAAGTTTCGCTGCAATCCCAAAGGCATGTGGTGCGAATCCACCACCTGTTCTGTGAAAGGATAGGCAATATCCTTCCGTTTGATTAATTGCCTTGGAAAACCCTCTGAAGGGTCAGCTATGGGTTGGTTCCAACTGGAAGATACACAACAATGAAAACAAGGTTTATATACTAAAAAAATTAAAACTTATGATACAGATCTATCTACATCCAAGTTTACTGCAGCACTATTTTTAATGGCAAAATGTTGGAAACTACCTAAGTGCCTGCTGACAGATAAGTGTTGAATGTACACTGACATATGGAGTATTACACATCATTTAAAAATGTTCAAGAATTCCTGAAATACTGCATTAATTGGATTAAATTAGAACAAATTACGCTGGGTGACATAAATCACAAAGGCTAATATTTTTGCTATGTTGTTATTATATATGGTACGTTGTTATATCGAAACAGACTCATAGCTGACCCACCAGTGGGTTTTCAGAGGCTATAGATTGCACTGGAAGAGCTTAACAATCTTTCTCTTGGGGAACAAACAGCTAGTAGAGTCAAACCACTTGCCTTTGGGGTTTGCACAACTCCTTATCATAGACCACCCACTAAAAAGAAATGGTTCATGCAAATATTTGAGCATTACCAGAGAGAAAAGAGAGAGAGCGAGAGCGAGACTGAGGGAAGCAATAATAGATAAATAGAATATGAATGTTCAAACATATATTTGTTGTTTTCAATAGGTTTGGAACTGACCCATAGCTGACCCTCTGGGTGGGTTTTCAGAGGCAATTGATCATATGTGAGGAAATTGCCTGTCCTCCTATGCAGCAACTGGTGGCCTCAAAGCACATGCCTTCAGAATTGCAGAACAGCTTCTTGCCACTAGGTTACTGTATATCTCTATCTATCCTCTGTCTGTCTGTCTATCTATCTATCTATCTATCTATCTATCTATCTATCTATCTATCTATCAAATACAAGAGTACATCTACCTAGGATTTGTGTCTCTATTGTTTTGCTATAAATAAAAAGGGTGAGGGATGGGGGAGAAAGTTCGGTACCTCCATAGAAGAAAGACTTCCTTCCAGAAAGGTTAAAGCCAAGCAAACATATGGGGAATCCTACTCTGTTACACAGGGTCACCAGGAGTCAGAATTTACTTGACAACATCTAACAGCAAGTAACAGTTTTGCCCACAGTGCCTTTAAAATGAGTGTGATTGCTTAGAATTATGACACTGTTGTTTTTCCCCAAGAAGAAAGGATCTGATATCTTTCTTGCTCAGATTACACTGAAATTTTCTCAGATCTTAGCTAACTGGCAGCACCTTCATTCTCTTCATAGCTCCTTCTTGATGATGCTGGGGAAGTGTATGGAACATACTATGAACTACCAAGAAAATGAACAGGTCTGTCCTAGAGAGGGTGAAACCAGGTTGCTCCTTGGAGACAAGGATTTTGAAACTCCATTTCACATACTTTGAGCATGTTGCTGGAGGGACCAGTCCTTGGAGAAGGACATCATACTTGGAAGGGTGGAGTGACAGCGCAGGAGAAAAAGACCTTGGATGAGTTGGGTTGACATAGTGACCGGGGCATTGGGGGCAAGTGTGTTGGAAACAGTGAGATTGCCTCAGGATGGAACACGTTTCAGAACTTCTATTCATTGGGTAGTTATGAGTCATAATTGGCTTGAAGGCCTGTAACGACAGCAACATCACCACCTCTTTGTTGAGGCAGACCATGGCCTTTTGTCAGAAGGCTGCAGAAACTGTGTCAAGCTGTCCTGACTTCACAGCTGATAGAACAGGAGGTAGTATTTGTATTTCTGAAGGAAACCAATACCAGGTGAATTCTGTTGGACCTTATACACAACCAGGGGAGCCCTGGTGGCTTAGGAGTAAATTGTGTTTCCTACTCAATGGTATGAGGTTAGAAGCCACCAACTGCTCCACAGGAGAAAAATGGGCCTCTCCTCCTGTGAGATCTGAAAACCTACTTGAGGATTAGTTATGAATCTGTTCTGACTCAGCGGTACACTAACAGCAATAGGCTACCGTGAGGGCAGTGGAGATTTGCGTCAGATGGTGTGGCATTATTTCTGTCTTTTATTTTTTTGTAAAGTGTGTAAGCCATGCCTCCATGTAGCCAGACTGCCCAAATTTCCAGTCGCTTGTTGAAACTGACTCCCTGGAAACAAATTTGAGAAATTTTTTTAGGTCCTTCATTGTTTTAGTATTTGTTGTTGTTGTTTTAGAAGACAGCTTCAGTTGGTTTTTCAACCAGTTGCCACAAGAAAAATCCTATTATATACTTTTTTAAAAAACGGTTTTGATTTTATTTGATTCAAGTGAAAAGTAAGTAGGAGACATGAAATGTCAAGTTCCTGGCCGCCTCGCCTCCCAGTGTTTTCTTGCTCTCTCCACAGTTGGTTTGAGCTTCTCTTGGGCTTTGGTAGATTCCAGACATAATTAAAGACGAAGCAGGGCTGGTGGTAGTCATTAGGGATTAAATTGAACCTCCAAAATTTGTGTTGGGCTTTACACCTGTGGATGTTAATCTGTTTGGAAACAGAATTTTTTTTTTTTCTCTCCACGGTTAATGAGTTAATACGTGTGTAAGGAGGATCCTGAAGTTAATCACTTCTGAGTTATAAAAAGCCCTGAATGGACCTTGAGGCCCGCACATGGGGGTGGGAGACACATTTCCACAAGACCAGGTCCAGTCCTGAAAATGAAACGGAGTCCTCTGAGAGTCAGGCTCTGAATCCAGACTGTTACCTTCCTTTGCAGTGAGGAAAGAAAAAAAAAAAAGAAATTATTTGTTTAAAAAGTCATTCAACCTCTTCCATCTGCCCATGATGCAGAAGGGAAAGAAGGCCAAGGGGAAGAAGGTGGTCCTGGCACCCGCCATGGTCAAGAAGCGGGAGGCCAAGAAGGTGGTGAGTCCTGTGGTTGAGAAAAGGCCCAAGAACTTTGGCATCAGGCAGGACATCCAACCCAAAAGGGACCTTCCCCGCTTGGTCAAATGGTCCCACAACATCTGACCGCAGCAGCAAAAAAAGCAGTTCTCTACAAACAGCTGAACATCCCACCCGCCATTAACCAGTTTGCCCAGGCCGTGGACCGCCAGACGGCTACTCAGCTGCTGAAGCTGCCCCACAAGTACCGACCAGAGACCAGGAAGGAGAAGAAGCAGAGGCTGTTTTCTGGATTTTGTGGTCTTGAGGTACAAATGTGTACCCACGAGTCCATCTTAATGATCACTTAATGATCACACTGACTGTCAGCTGTCCGTCACCCACAGATCTCCCCGCTGCCCTTAAACAGTCCTCTTCCTCAGCCTCTTGCCTCTCCAGAGTCTGCAGGTTCTCTCACAACAGATGAAGGTACATCACTGAGATGATGATGATGATGATGATGATGATGATTATTATTACCAGAAAGCTGTGCTACTTTTAATCCTTCCTGGTTTTCTTTTGCGTTGCATAACTAATTTGAGGTTCATTACTCTGGTTTATTTAATGAGTTCATTTTCACTGGTGAGTAGTATGCTGTTATTTATTTACTCATGTATCTTTTAATGAGTGGAACAGCCAGATTCTGCAAAGGTGTATTTTCTGGATTGAGATTGAAACTAGTTGTTGTTGTTATGTGCCGTCTGGTCGCTTGCGACTCTATGTACAAGAGCTCTAAATGCTGTTCTATTCTGTGTCAACCTAGCCATCTCAAACGCACTTATTCCCACCACTCCAGTCACAGAGTTGATCCATCTCATCGAGGGTCTTCCTCTCCTTCACCGCCCCTCCACTCTGCCAAACATGATGTCCCTCCCCAAGGACCAGTCCCTCCTTGCAACATGCCCAAAGTATGTCAGAGGAAGCTTCAGAATCCTTGACTCCAGGGAGCATTCGGCTTCACCTTCTCCAGGACAAACCTGTTTGATCTCCTAGCAGTCCATGGTATATTCAACACTCTTCTCCAGCACCATAACTCAAAGGCATAAATTCTCTATCATCTCTAGTCACTGTCCAACTCTCTGATTCATAGCACATAATTGCGAAGACTATAGCCCAGATCAGTTGCACCTTAGTCTGCAGCCTGACGTTATTGCTCTTCAGTACTCTTGAGAGGTCCCTCACAGCTGACTAGGGTGTATCTTTAAATGGACATTTGACTTCCTTCTAGTTTTTTTGTCTGTTTGTTTTTATTGTAGCAGATAAATCTTTCATGGGAAAACAGGTTTACAGTTTTCTCTGTGGTATGTTTGTTTCTTAGGGCTATTATGACTTGTTCAGTTTATTTTGAGGTTAAGAGATGTTGCCCTGGACGTGCTTACCAAGTTGTGCCAAGAAATCTGGAGAACAACCACCTGGCCAACTGACTGGAAGAGATCTATATTTGTTCACATCCCCAAGAAGGGTGACCCAACAGAGTGTGGAAAGTATAGAACAATATCATTAATTTCACATGCAAGCAACATTCTACTGAAGATTATCCAAAAACACATCAGCAAAGAATTGCCAGAAGTCCAGGCTGGGTTTAGGAGGAGTCTTGGTACTAGGGATATTGTAGATAATGTTAGATGTATCTTGCCTGAAAGCAGAGAATACCAGAGGAATGTATATCTGTGTTTCATTGACTATGCAAAGGCATTTGACTGTGTGGATCATAACAAAATGTGGCTGCCTCTGAGAAGAATGGGAATCCCAGAACACTTGACTGTGCTGATGAGAAACCTGAACCTGGACCAAGAGGCACTCGTCAGAACAGAGCAAGGAAACACTGCATGGTTCAAAATTGGGAAGGGCGTACGCCAGGGATTCATCCTAGCTCCACACCTTTACAACCTGTATGCAGAACAGATTATCCGGGAGGCTGGGCTCTATGAGGAGAAATGTGGGGTCAAAATTGGTGGACGCTTTATCAACAATCAGCGTTATGCAGATGACACAACCCTGCTTGCTGAAACTGAGGAGGACCTGAAGCACTTGCTGCAGAGGGTCAAGGACTGCAGCCTCCAATATGGATTGAGGCTCAATGTCAAGAAGACAAAGATTCTCACCACTGGACCAATTGGCAGCATCAGGATGGATAGTGAAGAGATTGAGATTGTTCACAGCTTCCGTTTGCTTGGCTCCACAGTCAATAAATACTCTTGGCATCAGCAGCCAGGAAATTAGACGACGTATTGCCATGGGAAAATCTGCTGTTAGGGACCTCTCCAAAGTACTGAAGAGCAATGGTGTCTCTTTGGAGACTAAGGTGCGTCTGATACAGGCCATGGTCTTCGCAATCACTTGTTATGCATCAGAGAGTTGGACAATGACTAAGGAGGATAGAAGGAGAATTGATGCCTTTGAGCTGTGGTGCTGGAGAAGAGTATTGAGGGTACCATGAACTGCTAGGAAAACAAACAGATTCATCCTGGAAAGGGTCAAACCGGGCTGCTCCTTGGAGGCAAGGATTCTGGGGCTTCGCCTGACATACTTTGGACATGTTGCAAGGAGGGACAGGTCCTTGGAGAGGGACATCATGCTTGGGAGGATGGAGGGACAGTGCTGAAGGGGAAGGCCCTCTATGAGGTGGATTGATTCAGTGACTGGGGTAATCGGGATGGGTGTGTCAGAGACAGTGCGATTGGCAGAGGATAGAGCAGAGTTTAGGGCCGTTGTACAGAGGGTCACTATGAGTCGCAAGTGACTTGACTGCACATAACAACAACAACAACAACAACAACAACAACAACAACAGGACTTACTGGCTGATATGGGGGATCCCCTCCTACAGGCTGCCAGTATCCCCTTATACATGTCCCCTCCTATCTTCAAAGCCAGTACTGAAGAATCTATACTTTATTGGGGTTGCTAAAACCACTCTTGGACCCCATACTTCACTTGAAGAAACAATTTCATTCATACCAGTTATATTCATGGGTTGGTTTTTATCTCAAAATGAGTAAGATAGGCAAAGGAAAAAGATATGTGGGGTAAGTCTGGGAAAGACCAGGAATAAGCTTCAAGGCCCCTTTGCAAGGGGAGGAGTTGCATGGAGATGTTTGGGAAGCCAATAATAAGTATTTGTAATAAACTGAATGCTATTTCAGGATGTGGGGGTGGGGACTGGTTCAATCTAGAGTTCACCTTGAGGCACTAAGGCAATCCTTAAGGGTTTACCAGATTCTTGCATTTGCTGACCCCTCCCTCCTGAGTCAAGGGGAAGGTTTTCCATAGAAAGAGCTTGGCTTCATTTGCATTGAATTCTCTTTGTGATTTACTTCCTGATAATTTTCAATATAGATACAGGGAAGCTGGAATGGGGCCCTTCAGCTGAGAACTGCTGGCCCCCTGTATTTATGCTCTCTATTCTATCTCCTTATTGGTTGTCTGTCTCATTATTAATAATTACAAAAATACTTTACCCTCAATCTGCAACAGAGATGTCTTTAATTCTCCACAAAAGAATGTGTGACATGTGAAATGCTGTCAATCAGAGAAGCTCACCCAAGCCTTAGTGTCTGGGGTTTTTATTGGGAACCAGTCACATAGGCATGCAGCACCCAATAACCAGGCTCCTAGAAGTCAAGGTAACAAAGTATGGCCCACGCCCCCAGATAGACACTCAGATGCTTACCATTAGTCACATTGTTGGCATAAACAATAACTTATCACTTCCAGGTCTTAGGGGAAGCCAGGAAAACTCAGGGAAATCTGATACTCTTCTATACGTTTCTTGTGCATTAAGAATTTGCAGTGTTTTTGTAGCACCAAGATTCTGAAAACCAGATGTCATGCCAGAAGAAGATTTGGGGGTTGCTGCTCTCCACGTAGGAAACTCTGTTGGCTTAGTGAGAAGGAATTGTGCTGCCAAGCCCAAGGTGCTCAGTTCAAAGTCACTAGATGCTCTATGGGAGAAAAATGAGCAATCTCCTCCTGTGCCTTGAAAACTCACTAGAGTTAACTATGGGTTGATTCTGACTGGATGGTCAACAACAATAACAACAGTCGTCAACTAGTATGACCATGCTTAGATGCTTAACCCAAGCACAGGAAGCATCTACATACTTGGGTCTTTACTCTTGACACATTACACAGAGTGCAATTTCGGTAAGGCAGATATTTCTTTTATAGGGAAAAGTGTTGGGAAAAGACATTATCATACACCTCCAATTACAGGGGGAGGAGTAAAGTCCCCCTCTACATTGCGGTAGAACCACAAACAGCCAGGGTCTCTATCATCTCTTTGACTTCTGGGCATTTCTCTCCCCAGGCAGGTTTTCTAACATTAAAAGTCCATCTTGGGAAAATGACTAGAACAAGATTCATCATCATGTTCTATCCAAATGACAGATTACAGGTGAATACAAGTAAGTGCTACTAATGTTATGACACAAAATACACATGATTTGATGATCAACTTTCACCCCAACCACCATATAAGAAACCAAATCTGAGTTCAAGAACTCCTACTCCCAGATTTGCAAACAGCGTGGTGGCTTTGAGGTGCTTCAAATATGGAAGCCAAAGCAGTGGCGCCCGCTGTCCTCAGGGCTTAGTCTGTCAATGCATCTTCAGATGCACTGGGGCCTGTTAAGTTCTGTCCCCAAGTGAAAATATTGGGCATTTTTGGTATAGACATTGTAATCACATAAAAAGGGTAGGCCACCATTTCTCGAGTCTTGGACATCTTTTCTCATTCGCAGTTTTGGCCGTTCTTGTAAGTTCCCCTAAATCCTTCCCCTTTGTTTCTCTCTGTGTCAGTTTACCTTTTTATTTTTCCACTGAGGGGTGTTTGTTTTAAATGCTGTGATGGCGTCCAGAGTGTCTAATTGACAAATTATGTTGCACTTTTGGTAGCTTTAAGTAATCATTTAAAATAAATAAGATCATAATTATCAGTTTTCATTTACCCATTTATTAAGTAACAATGTTCACACTGCGCAGTTTGATTTTGTGTTATAATAAGGCAATCTCTACATGATGACAGATGGTGTTTCATTTTGCCGACACTGTGCTAAAGTGCTTTGAGTTGTGATGTGTTTGATTTTATTAGAGATCAGATTTAACACATGCATGCTACATAACTGCAATCACATTCCCATTTCTCATCTGTAGGAGAAAATGAAACTGTGATGAAATGTAATATACTCACCCTCAGGCAGAACTAGTGAGACTGGGAATTGCAACATAATAAATCTAATGGATATTACACTATAGGACCCTTGAAATT